TTTTGTTTGAATATGTATTAAAAGTCGAAGTATCCAACGTGGAAATAGTATGCTACATTGTTTTTAGCCAAAAAGTTTTCTACGTATCGAATCCCACATTAAAAATATTGCTGTGTAAAGAAAAATCACTGTACTACCTCCGCTCCTTAATATAAGAATTTGTTTGAATTTTTTTTTGTCATAAATATAATACTCTAATCTACTGTGTCTATCATATTTATCCAATCCATTGTGTTTATCATTTTTTTTTGGTAAAATAGTCCTCGTAATAATGATAGTTTTAACTAGCACACTTGATTGTCAAGGATATTTTAGGAAAGACAACACCTATTTATTACAAAAAACTAACTTAACTAGTTTTCTTACTAGTCAAATTAGATAACTAACTCTCATATTAAGGACCAAAGGTAGTATATCATTAATTTGTTATTTGCTTATCTTTGCTATAATTCTCTTGGTGATGACCTTAAACTAATTAACTCTATAATCATCTTGACAACCCAGCATTTCAGATAGGTAAAATTGCAAAAAAAAAGACCCGTCAATATGTGAAATTGCGATTTGAAACCCTCAATTTAGAAAATATCAAATAAAGACCCGATCTTATATTGCAAATATGAAATCTTTGTAAAATGTCTGAAATGCCCCTCAGTCAAGTTGTGATTTGGTCTACTGAAGTTGTCATTTGCTAAAGTGAATTTGTCATTTTCCATAGTCAACTTGTCATTTGGTAGAGGGGCATTTCAGACATTTCACCAAGATTTTATATTTACAATATGGGATCAGGTTTTTATTTGATATTTTGTAAATTGAGGATTTCAAATCACAATTTCATATATTGGGGCTCTTTATTTGTCCTTTTCCCTTCTAGATATTGCTTCTAGTAAATTAAAAATTTAACAATTTAAATATTTATATATTTTCAAAAAATAGGACACATAACCATATGTGATTAAATAACGTAACATAATAAATATAAAGAATTTGAGTAAGTATTGTCTTTTTTTTTAATTAAAACTGTGAGATTATTTATGAAACATGGCAAAGATTACAAAATTAAGAAAAATAAATGCTATTCCTTCTACTTATTCTCCCTCATCTTGCTAGCTCTCTCCCTCTCTTATAGATTGAGTGATTCAACTTGGGAAGGTTATGGGTTTCTCGAAACAGATTTTTCACAACGGCTAATAAAAATAAATGTCATAAAAAATCTCTCAAAAAGTATAGTTATAGAGGACTTTTTCATGGTGGTTTTTTACTAACAACGGCCGTGAAAAGTTATTTTATATTGCAGTTTCGTAACCATCGTGAAGTCCTCTGATTCTCAGATCGATAAACATAGACGTTGTTCCTAAAACAGTCATTAAAACACCTTTTTAGTAGCCGTAAAAAGTCTTTTCTGCAGTAGTGTCAATTTTTTTTTTTTTGGGCAGAATGTTCAGAGTTTGTTCGATGTTATGGGTTCCTTATCATAGTGACTTCCTTTTTTGCCAGATGCTTATTATAAGGGAAAATAACAAAAAAAGAAACTGAAAATTATTAAATACTCCATCCGTTCCTTATTATAAGAGACAAATAACCGAAGTACGTTGATCAAAAAAATAGTTAAAATTAGTTAAGAACAATTAATGTGTAAAAAGTATAATTTTTTTCCAAAAATGCCCTCATTAATAAGGAGAGAGAGCATGAGAGAGAACAATTAAATTATTAAAAGAAAGAGAAGTGGGAGGGAGAGAGAGTGTGAGTTGAAGATAATAAATATGGGTAAAATAGTAAATTAACACAAAAAAGTAGAGACAACTTGTAAGTGTCTCTTATATATAGGAACATGCCATAAGCATCAAATGTCTCTTATAATAAGGAACGGAGGGAGTACCAAATAAGAGATGTCAACAAAAAAGTTGTTGTTATTTGTAAATTCAGTATTGTCAATGTCAAATAAAGTATTAATTGTTACCAAACATGATTTGTGATTTAGTAATTTTCAGCTTTATTTTTAGTCATTTTCTCTTATTATAATGACTACAACATATTTCATAATATAACAAATTATTATAATTACTACAACATATTTCATAATACAACAAGTTTTCTGTTAAAAGTATCAATGGTTTTCGCCCAAGATTCTAACTAATTACAAAACATCAACAGTTATTCAAACTTTTTTAACTTATAATTCTTATTGAGAATAAGTTCTATATTTCACAATAAAAAACTAATTTTAACTTTATTTATTTATTTATGTCAAGTTATTATTTGGTGCTTATATGTTAGTTTATTACCCATTTTCATATACATTTTCCATACATTGCGAGTCCGTTGTGTAAATTTTCAAAGGACTGCTAGTTGCTCCTTGTCTTAATTTTTCGTGTTGTATTTGTTTCCTTTATTAATAAAATGGAAACTTCCTGAAAACTTCCTTCAGTATTTTTCTTTATCACTTTGTTGAAAATTGGTCATAATATTATGTCAATGGTTGACTTGGAATCGGAAACTTCTTGGTTCTATTTCGATTAAAATCTTGATAGTGTATTCTATCCATATAAGTATAAAAGTATAACATTTTTCATTTATATAGATTTAAGAAACGCGTTCATGAATTGAAATAATTACAAATTTAGTTTGTTTAACCTTAGGTCATTTTTAATAAGACTGGAATTAACCAAATTGTGTGGTATAAGAAGTCTGTTACATTTTTTCTTCTAAATATGCCTTATTTATACGAGGTCAAGTGAGAGAGATAATTAGTTAAAAAAGATGAAAGAAAATATATGAAAAAAGTAATCTAATAAATAAGTGATAAATTGATAAAAATGTATTTAATGTTTAGAAAAACTCTAAACAGGATTATATAAAAATGATCAGATCAATTCAAAAATTTGGAAATACAGGAGGGACTAGTATTTAATAATTTTTTACTCCAATTAATTCAATTTAGGTATTTGTTTCGATTCAATCTATGCATTTTATGGAGCTGGAATGAATTGAAAATCGTCATATCATAAATGGGTGGTGCTGGTTTTTTCTTTGGGAGAATTTCACTGTAGGACCGCAGAAGACAATTAATATCAAAGAGCTCCCAAAACTTTCTGAAACCTCACTGCAGGACCAAGCACTACAAAAAAACAGACTTTAGGCGACGACTTTCGGCGGCGACAAAAAAAGTCGCCGCTGAAAGTCCACTTTCAGCGGCGACACCAAAAAGTCGCCGCTGAAACTAAGACTTTCAGCGGCGACAAAAGTGTCGCCGCTGAAAGTGGACCTTCAGCGGCGACTTTTTTTGTCGCCGCCGAAAGTGGACTTTCAGCGGCGACATTTTTAGTCGCCGCTGAAAGTTCGCCATTGAAACCAAGACCTTCAGCGGCGACTTTTTTTGTCGCCGCCGAAAGGGGACCTTCAGCGGCGACTTTTTTTGTCGCCGCCGAAAGTGTACCTTCAGCGGCGACTTTTTTTGTCGCCGCCGAAAGTTCGCCATTGAAACCAAGACTTTCAGCGGCGACTTTTTTTGTCGCCGCCGAAAGGGGACCTTCAGCGGCGACTTTTTTTGTCGCCGCCGAAAGTGTACCTTCAGCGGCGACTTTTTTTGTCGCCGCCGAAAGTTCGCCATTGAAACCAAGACTTTCAGCGGCGACTTTTTTTGTCGCCGCCGAAAGGGGACCTTCAGCGGCGACTTTTTTTGTCGCCGCCGAAAGTGGACCTTCAGCGGCGACTTTTTTAGTCGCCGCTGAAAGTTCGCCATTGAAACCAAGACTTTCAGCGGCGACTTTTGTTGTCGCCGCCGAAAGTGGACTTTCAGCGGCGACTTTTTTTGTCGCCGCTGAAAGTATAATATAATAATATATATTTTATTTTACAATATTAATTAACAAATTCAATCTGGCTCAGCGGCAAGAAGGTTGGACACGAAAGGAGGCGGTCACGAGTTCGAACCTGGAAGAAGACACATTTAAGGTGAAAATATTTGGACGATGACGTGGCGAGGAGGAGTGATGTGGCAATGACGTGGAGGTGGCTAGTGATGATGTGGCGGTCGGCGGTGATGATGTGGCCGCCGATGGCGATGACGTGGCGGCCGGAGATGATGACGTGGCACCGACGGCGATGACGTGGCACCGACGGCGATGACGTGGCATTGGTAAAGCCAATTCTTCTTAGGCATTACTTTCAGCGGCGACAAAAAAGTCGCCGCAGAAAACACTTTCGGCGGCGACATTTGTCGCCGCCAAAAAGTCTTTCAGCGGCGACAAGAGTGTCGCCGCCGAAAGTGTTTTCTGTGGCGACTTTTTTGTCGCCGCTGAAAGACTTTTTGGCGGCGACAAATGTCGCCGCTGAAAGTGTTTTCGGCGGCGACATTAGTCGCCGCCGAAACTTCTAAAAGTCGCCACTGAAAGTATCTTTTAGCGGCGACCTTTTTAGTCGCCACTGAAAGTTTTCAGCCACAGCTGCTACGGCAACGACTTTTCAGCGGCGACTTGTCGCCGCAAAAACTTTCGGCGGCGACTTTTGTACTTTCAGCGGCGACTTTTGTCGCCGCTGAAAGTCAATTTTTTTGTAGTGAAGGGACCAATCTGATATTAATTTTTAGAGTGAGATTACAATAATACCCCTCCCTTTTTATTTTATTAAAAAATAAATATTTACCGGAGTTACTGTTTCGGCCACCGGAGGTCGGAGGTCCGGCCACCGGCGCTCAGGTGGCGGCCGTCAGGGTCCGGTCACCGGTGGCCGGAATAGTAACTCCGGCGGGACCTCCGGTGGCCGGAGTTTTTTTTGTTTAAAACAAAGTGGCCAAGGGAGGGTTTGAACCCAGGACCCCTTGGCACACCAAAAGACTTGTAACCACCAAACCAAGCAACCCATTCAATCATAAAATGTAAAATTATCGTACTTTTGTGGGTGAATTAGTGTTTGTCAGCTGCAAAAATCCAGTTCTCTCTCATCTGCATGAGAATATTGTGGCGCTTTGTTCTACTGAAGAGCCAGAAGCGCAATATTCTTATATGCTGAAGCAGTATCCAAGTCCATCTGATGTGGGAGAGTCCTGCAAAATAGATTTGATGGTGAAAATGGTGCCATGGGGACCGATGACATGTAATGAGAAATGTTCATATCAGAAACATGAGAGTGAAGTGGTAAAGGGGATTCACATCAAATGGCGTGCTGATCGTTGTGGAGTGGCGAACGGAGGGGAACCTAGTTGCTGGTTTGAAAATGCCACTAATATGATTCTCTGTCATCGGGATGCAGAAAATCCTATTTCTGCAATGTTCATTGGTGAGCTTCGTGGATTTTTATCTCGGTATTCTAATGAAGAAAAGCAATTATTGTCATGATTAACATACTGAAATTAATTATATTTTTAATCTGAATTTTGACAATGCAGACTTCTCTTGGAGGTACTTGGATACAGGTATGTGCCAATCAAGGTTTTCTCCTTGCCAGAAAATTTTCTAGTTCTTTTTTCCCCCCATTTGTTTAGACAATTTAACGCACACCTCTCTCTCTCATAGGGGAGGGAACCAGACACCCATCGCATCTATCCCTATTTTAACAACATGTAACATAGAACCCACAACCTCCTTTATGAGAGAGATGGGAGGTCCTTGTGAGTTAGGCTTCGGTAGATGGCCGAAACTTTGTGAACCGACCAATTGTGGTGTGGATAAAAAAAAGTTTTCCTTTCTGGTAAAACAAATAAAACATGTTTAAGCTCTTATATTAGGATCGAGAAGGAGTAAGTAACCACTTCAAGATCCAAGAAACAAATTTTTAAGGTGTTCATCTTACAAGGACATTAAAAAGACAAGTCTTATCAGTTAGACATATAAATATAAACGTGTGAATCTAGTTTACTTAGGATGCAATGAATTCTTACTCTCATGCTGTGATCACTACGTAATTCAGGTCTCAGTCATTCTATTTATAAATCTTTTAGTTTTAAATTAACCCCTCAATCCATGTAATCTCACCAATTTCCAGTAAGTCCATGTAGTTTCCCCTTTTTATCAGGTACTCATAATTTCCTCAGTTACAGCTATAGCATTTTCCCCTCCTTTTTGTTACATCCCTATTGTTATTGATCCTATGGACTGTGGTATTAGTTTTTCTTCTGACCATTTATCTATTCCAAATTGTTTGATGTCAGATAAAGAATGCGATTCATCACTTGCATTTAACATTCAAAAGTAAATTATGGTTTTATTAAAGCCCAACTCCAGGTATATAAATGAGGAACTGACGAGACTTTGTAACTCTAACAGGAGAAAGGAGGAAAGAGAGGGAAGGAGAGAGAGTTGAGAGACGAACAGAAACAAATGGAGAGGCGAAAGTAATAGCAAACAGAGAAACTGAGAGATGCACTGAGTTACTTCACTGATGTTTACAAATCATAATATGAATACAAAGTAGGCATATATCCTATTTATAAACTCAGTATCTCTCAATTAACACACAATCATCTTTCTAGCTAACTTTATCACTCCTATTTACACTACCTACGTAATAGCAATTACACAGCAAATTATCCCTTTTGAGAATCTCAACTGTACATTCGCATAAGAATCAATAGGAATCGTCCATTTTTTCACGTGGTTATTTGACCGGGTCAGATTAGGGTATTATCAAGCTCAATCAAGAGTAGCTCACCCAAAGGCGTTTCTTACTTTTACATGGACTTGAACTCAAGAGTTCTTGCTTAAGCGACCACAAATCTCCTTTCTACCAGGAACGAATCCTATTGATATGTGGGAATTGCCCCATTTAGGATTGCCAATAAGGGATCTATAGCTTAAATCCAATTCTATCTAATATCTATCATATATCGAACATGCAGTTAGTAATGGAAATTATCCTTTGGCACCCCCAGCCACAGCATAAAAAATTTAATGGGAAGTCCTCATTTTGGGGACCCCAACACAGAGTTCCATGCACATACCAACTTCAAGGTACCTAAACAAAGTATATCGACGAGAACTACTTCTTTAGGAAACCCCAACCATATTCAAGATATAACTTCAATTATGATGGATGCAGTTACTCAGCCAGACGTTAACAACCAAAAAGTTAAAAATGCACAAGAATAAAGAAAAACAAGTTGGGGATCAGAAAGTGCCTAACCCTTCATGAAATTGTTTAAACATTTACTACCATCAGTAAGAAATTTCCCTTTCAACGTTTGGGAGGGGAAAACATTCGACAACGCTGACATTTATGCAAGTGAAATTAATTGAAATTCTCTGGAAATTTTGTTTTATGTTGCTTCATTTTCTTCTCAGTTATTTTTTTTCCCTCTTTTTTTGCCCGCAGTTGCCTATTGGTTTGCAGCAAAATTTGCTTTGGGATTCCCAATTTTTGTGGGGTTTCTAATATATAATATGAGAAGGAGGCATTTATCTGAGTATGATGACATTGAGGACTTCCTACGAAGTCACAGCAATTTAGTGCCCATCAAATACTCTTACTCTGACATAAGAAGAATGACAAAAAATTTCAAGCATAAGTTAGGAGAAGGGGGTTATGGTTCTGTATATAAAGGAAAGCTTCGAAGCAAGCGTGATGCGGCTGTTAAGCTATTAGGCAAGTCAACAACGGATGGGCATGATTTCATCAATGAAGTTTCCACCATTGGAACTATTCGTCATGTAAATGTGGTGCAACTGATAGGATTTTGTGCAGAGAGAAGAAAGCAAGCTCTTGTTTATGAGTTCATGCCAAACGGATCTTTAGATAAATACATACTTTCTGAGCATGAAAAATCATCAATAAATTATGAGAAGATCAATGAGATTTCTTTAGGGGTGGCTCGTGGGATTGAGTACCTACATCAAGGTTGCGACAAGCAAATCCTACACTTTGATATCAAACCTCACAATATTCTTCTTGATGAGAATTTTTCTCCCAAGATTTCAGACTTTGGATTGGCAAAACTATATCCAACAGATAAAAGTATTGTGTCTCTAACTGCAGCTAGAGGCACAATGGGATACATGGCTCCTGAATTGCTGTATAAAAACATTGGAGGCATCTCACACAAGGCTGATGTTTATAGTTTTGGGATGATGCTGATGGAAATGGCAGGAAGAAGAAAGAACTATGATGTTGTGCAGAATTCGTGGCAGACTTACTTTGCGAAATGGGTTCATGATCAGTTTGAAGAAACAATATTTAAAAGCAATGCCACAGAAGAAGAGAAGAAGATAGCCCAGAAAATGATTACAGTTGCTTTTACTTGCATACAGCTGAGCCCAAGTGATCGCCCCTCAATGAGCAGAGTAGTGGAGATGCTTCAAGGAGATGTTGATGTCTCAGAGATCTTCAGAGCATAGTACGAGAGACAGTTCGATTTTAACATAAGATGTGTAAACAAGTTCTTATAATTAGAATCAGAGGTAGTATATATCAATCTAAGAAATATTGTAAACCTAACTCTAGATCATTTTCTTATGGTTTGAAAATTTTCACGCATTAGTTTTGCAGTGTACGATTCAAAAATAAAGGAATCACCCCCAACCCACCAGGTTATGGATCAATGCATTACACATATTTCTTAATTTGCGGCATTATGAAATGTTCCCAAATCCTTTCACAGTAAAAATCAAAATCAGCTCTATGGAAATGAATAAAGTAATCAGCAAAAAACGCTCACCTGTTCCAGGGCGTTGATGGCAAACTGGGCAATGTACAGCTGTTCGATTCGTAGCTAGGGTTTAATCAGGTTCTTCCAAGTTGGCAATCGCTTGAAATGACCTGGTAAAAAGAGCATTGTCCCAAATCCTTTTTCCCGCCACTTCATGGAAGCAATGCTCTTTCCTCCGTATGCTAGAACGAAGACCCCAACGACAAAGGAAAACTGGTGCGACGTTTCCCAAAAAGGGGGGGAAAAAAGGCTAATGCGAAGGGAGGCTCTTTATGCATACTGACTAATTGGGCTTCCTTTTCTAGCCCCAAATCAAAGATCCAAACGTGCACATGAGTACCTGTCATTTGTGGTCAGCCTAATCAAAGAACCTCACGGGCCTTGCACAGAGAACTGTAAATATATGAATTCCGAGAAGCTTCATGTTCCAGACTAAAACATACAGGATACCGGGCATTCGCGTGGCATCGGCGGTGTTCACAACTGGGGATTGAGCTGTTGCTGGTCATTTTCTTCTTCTTCTTTTTAATCGTCTTGTCTTTGTTTAGAAACTTCTGCGTTCTGCTATGAAATTAAGCTGGGGATTGCTAATAACATGAAACTAAGCATTCGCGGGGAAAAAAAATTCGAAGGAGGCAATAATGTTTATGTGTTATTCTGGTTTTCTGAGTATAATTTACGTAGGAAACAATGTTAGGGCAACAAACATAGTTGAACAATACAATTTTACGAGTCCTGATTGACCCTATGCATAATGCGTTCATATTGATTTCTTGTTGCCTCGTGTAAAATTAACTTCTTGTTGGCTTGTCTGGAATTTTCTCTCAAGGGTCATGTATTAGCTAAATAAGCCCTTTGTATGTAACTTGTGCTTTCCAGCGGATCTATTGGTTGATTCCGATAGAAATATATGTGAACCAAGTTCAGTTAGAGTCCTAGGATTCCCATCCCTATTCATCATCTTCTATTCCAATGTAAGATAATTTACCACGAAGAATTCATCTCTTTTGTTTTTTTGGGGGGGGGGTTGTAAAACTGGTGAGTAACTACCATTAGATTTGTTCAACTTAGAGCTTGTATGTGTGTAATATGAAGAATGAGAATGCTATATGTCTTTGTATGTGTTTGGACTCGTAGCTTGTGAGAGAGAAGGGGGTAGAAGATGAGATGACAGGCCTGTTCATGAAAGGCGAAACTACAGTGACAATCTGAATGAACATTCTACCTTGGGGGCATCAGTCTCCCCTGCATGGCACCATGTTTTAGGTGTACTTGATTTCAGGTAACTAGTACTCCCTATTTCAGTCTGATGGAGAAAGCTTCTGTTTTGGAGAAAAGGGAAAATTCCATCAAAGAATGAAATTGCAAAGGGCATGCGAACCAAAAAACGTGGGCATCATCGGCTAATTACAACAAAAGAAAATATGAGTAAGTTAGAGGCATCAGAAGAAGTTCAATATGTCAATAGCCCCTCTAGTGGGATCGAATGGTTCTCTAACAAAGCATATGATCTCAAATGATGAAGATGTGATGCTACTATAACCACGTTGGTTTCGAGAACCCCACGTTGCTAATTCAACAGATGTAAGAATTCTGGTAGAGAGAGCACGTGTGTGTGTGTGTGTTTTTTTTTTTTTTAATTTGCTTTGGTTGCTGAAATGAACATTCATTGTCTCTGCAACTTTCTATATTGTCACGCCTAGTTCACATCTGCTGTCACTTGTGTCTAAAGTGACAATGATTGGCTGATCAATGTGCGTGTGTGCTAATTCTTGTTACTGGCATCATCCTGAATGCTGATTACATCCTTGTTAATTGAAGTAAAGGCATTTTTGCCATGGGGGTAAAATTAAAACATAATGAACTACAGGTTACTCAAGAAGTTTAACTTTCAAGTGCGCAGAACTTCGTATTATTAATGGGTATGGTCTTGTCTTAATAACAAGTAGCATAAACATGTTGATACACTAGAACTTGTCATTATGCATGCTACTCATTTGTTGTAGGACTTTTTGTTAATTACATTCCTTTCTTATGGTCTCATAGTGAGTTTTTCTATTATTAATGTGCATGAACCAAGAAGGAACCACCATCTTTATATCCTGAGAAATTTTTGTGTGACACTACATGTTAACTTGTTGTGTGTGTTCTTTCACCTCTTATTTCCTTTCAACTTCATTTATTTAACCAAGCCTGGATGAATGGCTATTGGACAATTATATTAGGTTCCATGTTGTCTTCTCATATGCTTTTAAACTTGCAGAATATTAAACATTTACATCATTACATCATTGATCAGTGAATCCAAATGGCTGGAACTGCTAGCTCTGAGTCGAAGACCACATTATAGGCTCACCTTATTTACCGGTGTAAGAAATGCCGAAGAATTGTAGCTTCAGATGAGAATATTGTTTCCCATAAGCGTGGAAAAGGAGAAGCAAGTTTCAAATGGAAGAAGAGAAATGAGAACACAGAAAAGCAACCAGTGGACTGTACCTCAGTACTTGTCCAACCCATGAAGTGGATGCAAACAGGTTTTTGGGTTACTTCAACTGGGCAGGTATGCAGTGTAGCTGCGGAGCGTGGGTGAATCCTGCATTTCAGCTGCATAAATGTCGTTTAGATGAGTGCTATATATGACTCAATCACTTCTCAGCTTCCCCACAATCCACATCTGAGGCTTGGAAAAACTTGATAGTAGTAATACCTGAACATCAGTAAAGAGCTTTTCCTTATGGTTTATGGGAACTTTAGCATATGGAGTTTTGTACAGATTTGGTCTCCTGCACCACCATAATAGAAAAAAGTTAGTGCACATTTTTTTGAGCAATTGAAATCTAATTTAGACATTCAAAAGTTATTATTACTATTTTATTTTAGAATATAGCATAAGTTTCCCGGCATGCCTTTTTCTTTTTTTGGGTGAATCGGCATGCTTATTATTCATGAATTCTGTGTCTTTTGCTGTATTTTTCAACCTTGAGAAAACCATTTTGCAGATGCCTCTGTTTTCCTTCAATATTCAATTTGGTACCCATGTTTTCTTCTCGTTTTATTAAATCATTCAATTTTGCTTTATTAGTACTGTTAACGAAGCTATAAAACTTAACGGTTTTAACGGAACAAAATTAAATGATTTAATAAAAAAGAAAAAAAAGCATTTGTATTAAATTTAAAAAAAGTATAAATACTTGCAGAAATATTTTCTTCTATCAACCTCTCCAACTGCTTCAAGAGTCCGTCCAAATCACATTTACACCCTTGAATTTTATTAAAATCATTTCTTTTCTTCTAAAATATGAACTTTGATTTAATCTTAAGTTTTTACCATAAGTCTGCAACATATTATACAAAAGTAAGAAAATAATGAAACATATACAGATATGTCTATTGTCAAACAGATATGTCTATTGATTAAAAATTTGAAATCAAACTAATTTGAAATGTAACTTTTAATTTCATGATTTTAAAATTAAATTTGTAACTATAGTAAGGAATTGCAAAAAAAAAAAAGACCAAAATCTAAAAAATTGTTTTTTTAAGTATGCCCTTAACTAAATAGGGATATTTTTTAAAAGATTTTTTTTTTGTTTTGAAAGGTTTTGAAATATCATGAAATTCTGAAAAATTTTCCATCTCACACGCATATCATACTTCGTTACAAGCAATATTTTAAAAATCAAACCAGTCGTCAAACTGAAAAGATTAACAGGTCATGATTCAAACAGTTAGATCGGTTAGACCGTTTGATCGGACCGTTAATATAATAATTAGATAAAAATAATATTACATAAATATGTAATAATGTATATAAGAATAAAACATCAAATTTTCAAAAAACACTATAATCTTTGAAATAATTGACAAATTAAATTATAAAGTGATAAAGTGATTTTTTGTGATTTTAGATACAGGTATGATTAGTAATAAAAAATCAAAAGAATGAAATTAAATATATAAAAAATTAATTTTAAAAATACAGTAAATTTTTAAGATGTATCCTGCAGATATGATGTGATCTCACAATTAATTCAATGAGCTCTCTTCAAAGTTAATATTAAAAAATAAAAAAAATAAAAAAGTATAAGTGGCAAAAACAAATCGATTGGATATATTATATCCACGTTTAACTCATCCACCACACTTCAAAGATAACATTGAAAAAAGAGATGATATTAGTAGCCTTCAAAATTGGTTCTCTTCAGAAATTTTTAAACGGATTTTATTTAATAAAAAGATTTTTTTTAAAACAAAATACTCCCTCCAGCCCTGATTATAAAAGTTAATTGACTAATTTGAGAAGATTAAAAAAAAATTAAGTTATTATTTGTAATAAATATATGTTGTCTTTTCTAAAATATATTTATTAATTAAGTATATTGGCTATAACTATCATTGTTAGAAGGACTATCTTAAAAAAAATGTATAAATATGAAAGACAAAGTGGATTAGAGTCTTATATTTAGAATCAAAATAAAAATCAAACAAGACTTTGTATTAAAAAGCAGGTATAATATTTATTAGTAATCAATTAATTTCAATTTACCAAGAAGTGTTTCATACGCTTGTTCTGAATGCACCACTCTCTCGGACTACGAGGGCGTTGCTCTCTCTCCCTCTCCGGTGGCTGCTTCTTCATCTTTTGTTTCTCCCGTTCGACTCTCTTAAATTCCAGCGACGAAGAACGGCCCTGAGATCGGAGGAGGAGACAACGGTTCTTCTTTCATCTCAAGAGAAGAATCGATTTTACAGATAAGAGTTTCACCCCTCTTCCTTCTTCAATGAATATATCCCCCTATTTCAATCTTCATCTTCTATCCTCGACTTCTTCTTCATCCTCCTTCTTTGATCTTCATCCCCGTTCTGTATGAGACTCAATACCCCGTTCTGTAATTTCGCTCCTGCGAAGTTCGACTTCCACGTTCTACCGATCTCTGCGCCTCTGCCTCTGGACGGTCGCCGTCGTTGGCGGCTGTATCTGCATCTCTGCCTCTCGTTGTTGCGTCCTTTTTATGGCTCCAGATTCTCGCCGTCGAACGTATCAGATCTCAACCTGAGTTCGGTGCCCGCGCCCTCGCCTCTCCCAGTTAGCCATCTACTTCGTTCTTCGTGAGTTTGTGTGCTTTTGGGCTTTGGCTTTAGGTTCGTCTTCTCTCCAGACTCCAATTTTAAATTCACTTTATGATTTTTGTTGAATATTGAATGTGTTTGTGTTTTAAATTGAGTACTGACTAATCCTAAGTGCTTGTGTGATCGTGAGAAGATTAGTTAAATGCGCTCTGTATATGCTTATTTCAATTTTCAACAGTAAATATTTAGCTGCTGGACTTGACTATTGGGTCGTAGAGTGGACTATTTCTGGTATGTGGTAATTGAAGAACCTTCTTTTGAAATTCAGAATCACATTGAAGAGTCTTATAATTATACTCAATTGTTGAACCATTGTTATTTCTTTCTGTGTTAAAGGTGACTTTGGAAAGCTTACTGTTTCATGCATGTTGACAGCAGGAGGAGGTGAATTGATTAAATAGAACTCTTGTAATGGTGAAATAAAGGCTAATTATATATTTAAGCCTAATCTTTAATGATTTCTTTTTTCCTTTTTAGTCACATCGATGGATTTTGCTTTCAATGTTTGATAGCACTCAAAACTACCCTTCTAGACTTGGCATCTGTCATAATGACTACATGTCCTATAAAATTTGCTGTTCCTGTGCTGGCAGCACAATAATATTAAGTGTTTGTATGTGGTTGAGTTTTTAAAGCCTTCTAAAACACAACGTTAAACAATTTCTCCCAGGCCCTTTCAACTAAATTCAGGTTAGGTTTGGGAGATTGCAAGACAATGACCGCGGTAAAGAAGTCCTAAAGCCTAATTAGACTTGATTCCAAATAGAGTAAACATTTATCATGTCATAAGTCTGTACATGAATTGGGCATCTTTAGTTGTGGTCTACTTATAGTTACGTAATCTTGGCCACCTCTTTCATGTTATCGTTTGAGGCTCTTCGAGCATCTTGGAAGAAGCAATTGGAATGAGGTGTTGAGACTTGAGACTTTCAAAATGAATGGAAATATGCATTACCTTAGGCGTGCCTAACTAGCTAGCTTCACTGTCAGTTACCAACTTAATTACCATTGTTGTTTTCAAATGAATTTTCAATTGATGTTGCTTGAGCAATGAAAACGTCTTCTAACCGAGCATAAAGCTGAGCAGACTAAAAAAGGAAGGGAAAATCATGAAAGTTCCCCCCATGATTCCAAGTGGAACTTGAAGTTAAATTAGAGATCATGGCAATTCAATCCACCAGCAATTAAGCAAACTAACAACCATCAGTGAGACGGAAGCAATGACCGCTTAAAAATTCAACACTACTAATAGATTTCTTATTTTTGAGGGTGGGGTGGTGGGAACGCTGTTCTATAACAACCATCAGTGGGTTTGATAAATTACCTGATAAACGCAGAATTTTTAAGTAAATCTTCTACTTAGAAAAAAATTATTTTTTTCTCGTATGTGTGCGGTATGTTTAGGATTCTCGTTCTATATGCACAACTAAGATTTATGATTTTACACATAGGATTTTAGATCTTATGGAATGCTGTTCTATAATTCTATAAATAAGTTTGTTCAACTAGTCATGGATGAGCTAAGCAAATTTCATAAGAAGATTAACATGAATGTAATGTTTTCGAATCATATTACTGTATTAACCTATTATTTGTTTGACTAAATGCAGTGCTGCTATCTCCATGCTAGTCTCCCAGTGAATTACGTGGAGTCTTGCGTTAAAAAGTGTAGCTTCCCTGCTTGTTCAGTATCCTCTCTCAAGTTAGAACTTGACTTCACTCACCAAACAGTTCCTTGGAAGCAAAACGTTTGAAAACAATTCCCCTTTTGAAATTTGTGGTACACTATGGCAAGCACACGTTCCTGCAAAAGTTGTAGGAAAACTTCTCTTGTTAGGGATGATGTGTCTGGGGATTTGATATGTTCCTTGTGTGGTGTTGTTCAAGAATATGATCAGTTTGAAGCCCATATCGGTGGCATCAATGGTCCACAAGGAACATTCATCCGTGTTGGAACTTCTGGTGCAGGTACTATATATAGTTACAAAGAAAGGAAATTCTTTCAAGCCCAAAGTTTGATAGATGAATTAACTTCTAGATTAGGTATATCTTCAAAAATGAGTGATATTAAAGCGATGATTTCTACCATCACAGAGGGTGAATTTGGGCAAGGTGATTGGTTTCAGGTTTTAATTGGTGCATGTGTGTATTAGTGATGCGAAAGGATAATCGCCCAATGTCTATGGCTGAAGTGGCATGGGCAGCAGGATGTGATGGTTACGAATTGGGTAGGATGATTAAACGAGTTATTGATTTTATGGATTTGAAAAAATCAGATTTTCCAGAGTTTGATATCGTGCATTCATTGGAAAGGGTCCTTAAGATTTCACCATCTTTTGCTAGAATTGACAGAAGCAAAGTAGACAGAATGCGCAAGCAGGGGATATTTTTGTTACAGTGTGCAATGAAGTGGTTTTTGAGTACCGGACGTAAGCCACTTCCATTGGTAGTTGCTGTTTTAGTTCTGGTCGCTGAATTGAATCAAGTTGAAATTGGAATTAGCGAGTTGGCCAAGGAAGTTCATGCTGTTGTTTCCACTTGTAAAACACGATACAAAGAGCTTTTAGAGAAACTTGTAGAAGTGGCACAAGTTTTGCCTTGGGGAAGAGATATCACCACTAGAAACATTGTCAAACATGCACCATCTGTAATTAAGTATTTGGAGACAAAGGCTATGTTGAAACCTGTTGATAAAAGGAAAGACCTAGATCGTCCTGAGGCTAATTTGGCAGAGATGGTTAGTGAATGTTTAAGAAAACTCGATGAAAATGGACACAAGACTGATTCCATAAACCTCCCAAGTGATTCTCATTGTAGCATATCACAAAACAATATTCACTCTACAAGACCAAGTGCTAGGGATGCAAACAAACTGCTTTATTCACCTGAATGTTTGTCCATGTTGTATGAGCAATCTTCCGAGAGGGTCGATCTTCAGGATTGTAGCGAGTGGTGGAATGGAAAATCAGAATTGAGCAAAAAGCTTGTGCTCAAACAGTTACTCGAGAAGGATGTCGGATTCGAATCCATGCCACCTTCTTTTATTTCAAACTGCTTGAAATGTGAGATGAGAAGAGAGAAGATCAATGCTGCTAAGGTGCGTATAGATAGAATAATGCATCCATGGAATTCTGATTTGGGTGCTGATTGTTCTGAGAAAAAGTTCAAGAGGAGAAGAAAGCTTGTTGATGGAATTGACTGGGAAGACCTGATTATTGAGACCTTACTTCTTCATCAGGTAAAGGAGGAGGAAATTGAGAAGGGATACTACAATACATTGCTGGATTTACATGTGTTTAACTCTGGCATTGTATGAGATTTTCCTAATTTTCTGGCTTTGTAATTAGCTCCTGTTCGGAGTTTCTCATCAGTCCGTATAATGTTTTTGCTTTTCTTGTTATGTTTTTTTTTTTTTCTGGCGAATTATCTACAGGTATCTCCATTATTAATACTTGTTGATAGATGATAAAATTTTATTCAACTAAATTTATATGAATTCGTGAGTCTGTTCCCTTTTCTAAAGTATAATGAAAGTTTAATCATTTGAGTTGTTTTATACAGATAAAAAGAATATGCAAGTACATAAATTAGGCCATTTTTGCATACATGACTTTAATGATATTTTGAAATGGAGCTGGTAAGTTAGACGCCATGCAACCCTATGCATATATGAATAAACATGTGCATAAACTTTTCACCTTCCATAAAATTGTCGAACGTTATAGCTTTTCCCAACCCTTTTTTCAATAATTTTATCAACTTTATATTTTATCACTTGTTTTTTTATATTTTTCTCAATTACTTTTTTCAATCATATGCATTGAAACTACTTCTTGATTAGGAGTTTCATTAATATAAGCAATCAATAGGTATTTAAATAAAAATTATATAGTTGGGAGATAAAGTGAATTAAAATCTTGTAGTTATGATTTAAAATGAACTATTTGTCTAGCTCTTGTCTACAGCATGAGAGGTAGTATGTTTTTTTAATTTTATTTATAAGATACTTCCAACATATTTTACACAGGCCAAGAAAAATCTTAAAATGCATTAACTCTCTATTAAAACATAACAACTTTTCAAATTTACTCCTATTTAACATATACATCTTCAAAAAAAAAAACTATATATACTATAATAAATGAAGAACGAAATAATATATTTATGTTAAAAATTTAATGAAATAACTTATAAATAGGATTAGTAAAATCTTTTCTCTCTATCCTATAAATAAGATTATAAAAATATTATATAAAAGCGAGTCGTAAAGTAGTTTCCTCAATTGCGTACACCACGCGCACCATTGAACTTACAGCGACAATTTCATACATATAAACAAATGATCCCACGCCACGCGGTGCCTACCCGTTAATTCTAAGAGGTCAAGCTCGAAAGATTTTGTTGGAAGATTCCACACGATTAATTGACGATCGGTAACTTAATTAATTAATAAAGCCCTAATTATAAAATAATAATCTGGTGATTGTGACTCCTATTTTTACTGTTCCGGTCCTAAATATAAAACCTATTTTGTAGTGTAAAATATAAAACCTATTTTATGGTGTAAAATATAAGACCTATTTTGTAATGTAAAATTACACTACAAAATAGGTTTTATATTTAGAACCGGAATAATATTAATTAAGGTTTATTTCTTGTTGGGGTTGTTTTCTCATAACCCTACAAATATCCAAAGCATTTTCCATGCACTTTCACATCATGACTCTAGAACAAACATAGGTCTATAGATAAAGAGTGCATAGACATTGTCATCAACTTCACAATTAAGCAAATTGATTGGAGGGCAAGAAATCTTCCTGGGGACCACACGTGTGTGACATCATAGTACTATTTCTTATAGATTTGTCTCAAATTATTATTTTGCTTGGCTTCAATAGGACAACATAAAGTCGTGTCTCTCTTTTGCCTATAAATAGACCATATGGTTTTATGATTTCTTCTATACAGTCCTCTAGGAAGCTTAAGGCTCTGTTTGGATAGCACCCCAAACCATGGTTTGGGGACCCAAACCATGGTTCGGGGAAAATGCTACCCAAACAGCCTCTTCAAAAACCAAAACCATGGTTTTGGGTCAAAACCATGGTTTTGACTCCAAAACCATGGTTTTGGAAAAAGCAAAATTTTTTTGCTTTTGAAGAAAAAAGGGAGAGTGTGAGGGCCTATATGATATGTATCTTGTTATTTTTTTTATAAACATATTTTTTTATAAATATATTTAATTTTATATTTTATAAATATATATAGACATTAATTATTTATTAATTATATTATCTTATGTATTATTAATTATGTTGGTAAAAAACATATTATTAACAATTTTATTTCTTCAAATTAAAATATATCATAAAATCTATTTTTTCTGTAATTATCATATTAACTTATGTCTT